CCACTGTAGCGCCTGCTAACAGCGAGTACTGAACCTTCTATAAAAAGTTTCCAACTCCTCCAAAATACAGCAGCATCGATCTTAACAGGCACCAAAAGGAGGGAGCACATTACTCCAGTGTTTAGACCACTCCACTGGCTTCCTGTGGCGTATAATTCAAAATCCTTCTTTTAAATAGTATGGAGGTGAACAAAATTGAGATGAATTTAAATGTTAAGAGTAGTGGCCACATTTCTGGTTGTTTTTTAGTTGTTGAGTAGAGTTTCAAAGCTGATCAGTGTATGTGCAGAGGAAGAGTGTTCGGTCCAAACCCGTGCCATCGGTTGTTCATACACACTTGTAGCCATAGCTATAGTTTCACAAGCTTTAACATTCCTTTGCCTGCTATGTAGTGAGAATCTATGACAACCATGGCTCAATGTAATGTGTTAAGATAATTTGAAATGTATTATAATGGTTCATGTTGTAGAATTTTGTGAAAGAAATGTTGAAAAGAAAATGTTAATATCTTCCCAGGCAATTATTTTGTAGTGATTAGATTCACAAATCAGACATGTCATTCATGATAGTCCTGTAAACAGGCCAAAATGTCACATTTTACACCTTCATGATAAAATACCTTCATGATAAAATAAAGAGACCATAGTTGACCTGTCCTGACAAAGACAAAGGGGCACTTTATGACTATTTTTGTTCATGGCCCTAGAAATACAGGGAAATCAGCTTTAAACTAAGACTCAAAATCTGACTTTTGACACTTACCATAGTTGCCAAAACATATTTTTCAGCTGTAGAAAGAAGTAAAAGTCCAAAAGATATGAATGAGACAAAGAAGCCAAGATTGTAACCCATTGGAAATATGATGTTCTTATACTGTCAGACCAATTGTACATGTTTTTAGTGGTAGGGGAAACCGGAGCACACAGAGAAAACCAGAGAACCTGGAGGAAACTGGAGCAGACACGGGGAGAATATGCAAACTTCAAACAGAAATGCCCAAAACAGGTCAATCACATATAGGATGACCATACATGATGACAACATTAACACACTGCAAAAAGTGGTAAAAAAATAAGTCAAGAATTGCTCACATTTGGGCAAATGTATCTTAATTTAAAACATTTCTGACTACCTTAAAACCAGATTTGCAAATGGAAATAGCAAATTCATCTTATTTTAAAAAAGAGTCAAGAAATATCTCCATTGAATTTACTAAGAATGAAATGACTTCGTCCCATTGGCGAATCTGATTTAAAAGACAGTAAGAATGAACTCGGATTCAAGATATTATTAAGACCTATTGGGTTTTTTGGTTTTGTGAATGACTTCTTTTGGTCCCACTAAACAAACTGAAAAAACGACAAGAGAAAAAGGAGACAGATTAGGAAAAACAGCAAGAGAAAGAGGCACAAACAAAAGCATACAGCGCCCAAATGGAGGCCATCCCTCACCGCCGTGGGGAAGGAGGAGCAGCGGAGGACCTGTGTCTCTTAATAAAGCAGGGTGGTAGTTCTCAAATGCCACGTTCTCTGCTCGGAGGCGAATAACCTGGAGATGTGCGTTGCGGATGTTACAGGGGCCCCTCAGTCCGGGTCCATCTCTGTGAGTAATGATACAGACTGCCACCGCGCCACCGTCCACCCATCTATAACCGCACACAGGCACACATACAAACTACACAAATAGAAATATAGAGTCAGGGTGTGGGGATGTGGACCGAACTGGCACACAGAGATAAGACTGCTTTGCTCAGTGTCGTAGTGTTACTGTATGTGGTTATGAGAGAGAGGGGGGGGGTCGAGATCCTCCTATTTGTCCTCACTAGGGCTGTAATTGTTTGTTTCTTTGCTTTTCTTTAGATCCTATTATGCTGCAAAAAATGATATAACAAGAGGGTATAATTTCTTGAATCGAGTGATTTTTAATCTTAATTTGACACATTTTGACTGTCTTAAAACATGATTTGCCAACGGGAGGAGGAGGCGGAAGAGGAGGAGGAGGAGGGCATTCAAGTGTTTTAACTAATGATCGATTGCGAGAGATTGAATCATTGAATTTCCTCGCTTGACAATGGGTCTTATTTCAAATGTTGTTATATTCAAATGTGTTAAAATTAATGCTGTGTAGCTCCTGAAATATACAGTTATTGAACTATACAGTAACTATGAGGCGACGGTAGCTCAGTTGGTAGAGCGTTGGCCTTTGAGCCAGAAGGTCGTAGGTCTGAGTCCAACTCAAGACTTTTATCATTGACTCCCACTGATGTCTGCTGTCCTTCGGCAAGACCTGATGCCACAGTGGGGCGGCTGTGTCTTTGAGTGTCCAAAAAAAGCGCTATATAAAACTGATGCATTTACTTATTTTTTCTTCCTGGGGTCAATGCAGGTCTTCAATGTCAATTTTTGAAGATTTTTTTCTGAGACTTTAAATCAGCTCTGTTTGTGTACAAGTCTCCTGATTGACTCGCACCAAAGTACATCTGTGACATGCTTGTGCCATACGAGCCAGCTCGGACTCTGAGGAGCACAAGGACTGGCTGTTGCAAAGAGTCAGGACCAAACATGGGGATGCAGCTGTTCAGATTTATGCAGCCTTCCAGAAAATGTGAGACAGGCTTCTACTCCGACATCAGTCTTGAAGGGTATTATCTTCAGTCCTTTTAATGTACTGTGTCTTTATGCCTTGTGTGATTTTACTTTTTAAATTTTGTTTAGACTTGCCTTATGTATAAACTGTGCAATACAACAACAAAAACGCTCCTTGCCTAATTTAGACTATGTACACTTAGCTAATGACATTTGCTGATTGAATATGTTTTAACTACATAATAATGACCCATGGACTTGGCTACATTATCCACATTCAATCTCTTTTCTCGTGACTCACACAGTAGTGGTTTGTCCATAATAAACAATTAGTTATTGTAATGCTGTGTAAAAATTTCTTTGCCACTTCTAAACTGGAACTTTTGGCCCCTCAATGAAAATTATAATGGAGCTGTCACAGTTAGAACAGACAGACAAGAAGGACAACGCAGCACTGGTCTTTGATGTAGAATAAGAAAAATAAATCGCCAATTTCATATTGTTAAACAATCAATATCATAATGATAGGAAGTTACTTAGGTCTCTGCAAAAAAATCTATTAAATTAAATGTATTTTTGAATAGCCCTAAATCACAACAGTAGTTATCTCGGAGGACTTTACAAAACTGCTTTAATCGTCAACACAGATCAGAGAATCAAACTCAAGACTCAAAAAAAAAATGCAATGCCACAGTGCAATCCGTGATGAAAAATAAGTCAAAAATTGCTAACATTATGCTAAATGTATCTTAGTTTCAACACATTCTGAAATGTCTTCTTTAGAATGAGAAAAAAAAACAACAGTTCTAAAGACTAAAGAGCTTGTCCCATTGGCAAATCTTGTTTTAATAGAGTCAGAATGAACTCAAATTAAGATAAAAACCAGGCGATTATTACGTCATATTTGATCATTTTTTGCAGTGCATTAGTCCATATGGGGCGGATGACCAATGTCCATAAATGTTGAGTGTCCTGGATCATTACCAAAAATAAATTTTATTTAATTGACAATAAAAGAATGCATCCGTCAATCATCACAGTTATTGCAAACAACATGTTTTGTCTTTTCTTTCAACAACAAAAAACACTTCTTTTGAAGTTATCGACATCTCAAATTGAAAAACAGCGTGTGTCCGGTCTGAAGGGAATATGATTTAATGCATCCATTTGGACTTGAAGACGTCTTCAGACAAATCAGGGCCAGACCTCGTGCCAGTAAATAAGGCTCCATGCATTAGGTGATGTAAGTGAACATTGCCCCTGGTAAACAGAGCTTGTCCTGTGGCTTTAGAGTGCGAGGCGGGGCGTGGTCCAGCTGGTCCAGTGGTCAGGGCAAATGGCCGGACGACCTGTGTTCTGCTGAGTCATGTCCCAGGCGAGGGATAGAGAGCAGCTCCAGCGGACTCCAGGAGGTGCACTTAACCTGCAATAATTACTGGAAACAACACTGAGAACATATCAACATGGAAGTCATGAAAGGGTGAGATGACTTCAAATTACCCCCAGCCTCCAGGGGGCCCTGTGGGGAAGGCAGCCAGCTCCAGTAATGCACACGCTCTCGTTCCTTCACATCACTTTTCATTTGTCCGACTTACTTAACAAACAACAATGATTTGACAAGTAAGAGTTTGGTAACGGAGGATTGTTGTTAACCAGAAAATGTTATCTTGTTTTGTTGAGCACTTTGAGTTGCCTTGAGTATGAACTGTGCTATATATTACAATACTACCTGTATAATGCAAAAAAGGATAAAATATGAGATGATAATTGCTTGAATCAAGTGTTTTTATCTTAATTTGAGTACATTCTGACTGTATTAAAACAAGATTGGCCAGTGGGACAAAGCCATTTAGTCTTTTGTCAAGAACTGTTGCTTTATTTTCTCATTCCAAGGAAGACATACTCGTATATTTTTAACCCATGCACACACACAAACTCATTCCAGGAAATGTGGGTGAAGAGTCTTGCCTGAGGACACAACGACAGCTTGGCACTTGACAGCCTGTGGCACTTGGTGTTTCCAGAGGTCTCCCATCACAGTACTAACCAGGCCCATCCCTGCACAGCTTCAGAGATCTGATAGGATCGCCACTTTGACGGACTAGATTCACAAAGCGCTTTGTTGTTGGCATCTATCCTCTCACTCCACACATGGAAGTGAGGTCCCCATACACGGGGTGCATGCATAGGGGAAAACCGGAGCCCCTGGAGGAAACTGGAGCAGACACACAGTACATGCAAACTCCCATAATAAAGCCCATAACAAGTCATCATATAACGATGACCTTACATGATGCATTCGCAGATACACTGACTGGATTCTCTGTTGCGGAGGAGGCAAAAACACAAGAATGGGGGTTAAAAGACAGAAATGAGCGGCGAAAACAGAGCGAGCGAGTGAGACCCAAAGTGCTGCTAAAAATCATTAATCTTGGTGGGATGTGTGTCAGCTCGCGGTGGCGACACAAAGCTCTCGGAGTAGCAGGAGAGCAGCTCAGTGACCCGAGCCCAATTGGCTGAGAAAGGCCCACCAGGCTTTAATAGACTTTTGCTGATCCAACACTTGTTTGCTGGGAGCCACAAAGAGCCGATTGCAGGAGCTGACAGGGGCCCGCAGGCCTGGGGGGCTCTCCTCCTGGCCCATGATAAATGACCCGGGGTGGGCCGGGCCAGGGACGAGGCTAAAGCGAGAGGGGAGAGGGCTGAGGGGAGCAGAGGGGAGGCAGAGGGGAGGCAGAGAGGTGGCAGAGGGGAGAGGGCTGAGGGAGCAGAGGGAAGGGCAGAGGGGAGGTAGAGGGGAGGCAGAGGGGAGAGGGCTAAGGGGGCAGATGGGGAGGCAGAGGGGAGGCAGAGGGGAGTTAGAGGGGAGGCAGAGAAGAGAGGGCTAAGGGGGCAGATGGGGAGGCAGAGGGGAGGTAGAGGGGAGGCAGAGAAGAGAGGGCTAAGGGGGCAGAGGGGTAGGTAGAGGGGGAGGCAGAGGGGATGGCAGATGGGGAGGTAGAGGGGAGGTATGAGGGAAGCAGAGGGGAGGTAGAGGGGATGCAGAGGAGTGTCAGAGGGGAGGCAGAGGGGGAGGCAGAAGGGAGGCAGGGGGGAGCAGAGGGAAGGCAGAGAGAAGAGGGGTGAGTAGAGGGGGAGCCAGGGGGAGAGGCAGAGGGTAGAGGGCTGAGGGAGCAGGGGGGAGGCAGAGGGGAGGCAGAAGAGAATGAACATGGCAAGTGGAGGGAGTTTAACCCGTCATTCGTGGATTCTCTACAGCGTCATTTACAAGCATTCATGATTTGTCTCAGTAGATGGAGAAGACAGAGAACAAGAACAGATGTATCTATAATACATTAAGATGAAGAGATCCAACATGAACAATAACTCTGTGCTAACGTACATTTAGATCATTTTGACCCAATAGAGGGAGTTTTGTAGAAGTCAAATGACACCACAACATGCTGTCTTCATCTTGTATAAAACATGTGATATTTTGCATACTTACCTGTGAGTCAACATTTGACGCTTTTGGCTGAGAGCTGATTGGCTGAATGAATGTGGTCCTCTAGGTTTTTCCTTATTTGTCTGAAATTGATGGTCTAAAGAGGCAACAAAGGCCAAATTAAATAGATAAACCATTTTGAAAGCTAAAGAAACCTAGTTAGATGCACAGGTTGATAAAATGTATTATTTATGGCAGGTTAAAAATCTAGATATTGCGGGTTTATTAAATTTGCGTTAACTTGATTGAGGAATAATGTGTTTTTATGTATAAATATTTGTGAGGACTGCCAAAAATACTATAATATGAGGTCATAATAGCTTGAAACAAGGGTTTTATATCTTAAATTGAGCACATACTGACATTCTTAAAACAAGATTTGCCAATGGGACAAAGCCCTTTAGTCCCATTACAAGAACTGTTTTCTCATTCCAAGGTAGACATTTTTTATATAATTTTAAAACAAGACCATTTTATTTGTCCCATTGGCAAATCTTGTTTTAAGACAGTCAGAATATGCTCATATTAACCTACATTTTGCCAGATTTGAGCACTTTTTGACTTATTTCCCATCACTTTTTGCAGTGTATTACTACTTGCTTACTACTCCTCATCGCAAATCCTTGTACACTTGTTTAAATTGTGTACATTGTTTATCGAATCTTCCTTAACACACAAATTCTTGCAAAATACAAAGAAAGTAAAAGAAAAAGTAACAAAAAAGAAGAAGAGAGAGACCCCTCCAGCCTCAGAGGGGGGGGACCAGCTCCAAACAAAAGGGCGAGATATTTGATAAAAACGCCGAGTCGATCGTGGACGGTGCAGCTTGTCAGTCACTATGGAGACAAGAACAAGGAAGAGCCTCAGACAGGAATTGTGTGCAGCGAGAAAGAAGTGCTCAGTCGGCTGTTATCTTTGATCGCGTGAGCACCACCCACCTGCAGATCCATCAAACACTCGCTCAAGCACACCGGGCGTCTGATGGAGAGGCCTGACACGTGAACATCCACTCACTCAACCCAATTCTATGTATTCCTCACAACATCAAAGATCCCGGAAACATTTGATGAGTGCCTATATCTATGGAGAGAATGTGGATAAAATGTGACTTTCTCTATAGGAAGCCATGTAGAGATTATAGATGCGGTCCAAAAACAAGCGAAAAGTTAGAGATGGGTAAACTATGTGAACTTATAAAATTACAGATTTCTGAAATATTTGTCGTGTGCATTATAACAGGTGAAAAATAAGTCAAAAATTGCTCTAAATTGGCTAAATCTATCTCAAATTGAACACTTTTTGATTGCCTTTAAACAAGAGTTGCCAATGGGACAAAGTAAAATGATGTTGTCTTTAAAAGATACAAGAAATGTCTTCCTCGGAAAGAGAAAATAAAGCAACAGTTCTTGAAATGAGACTAAATGGCTTTGTCCCATTGGAGAATCTTGTTTTAATACAGTCAGATTGTACTCAAATTGTGATAAAAACCCATCGATTCAAGCTATTATTACCACATATTTAATCATTTTTTACAGTGTGTGTGTATGTGTGTTTTGTGCATATATGTGTGACATGTGGATGAAGCCATGTAAAGCTCTAACATTGCCAAAAAGTGATAGGGTTAGAATGAGGCTTAAAAGTTCTTGATGACTCCTTATATGTTTATGGCTTGGAAGGTTCTTTTAACAAGACAAAAGTGAGAAGAGGCTATACTTCTTACTTACAAGCATTTTTAAACTTATTTCTTACTAAAAGAACCTTCTAAACGCATAGTCCGAGCTATATATGCACTTACAATATGATATAAAATTGTTTTTGCAAGATATAATGCGCATATTTTTTACCATTTCTATTTGATCACATGCATAAAATGATGTTTGAGATGATAATTGCTTGGATTGAGTGAATTTTGTCTTATTTTGAGTACATTCTGACTGTAAAACAAGATTTCACAATTGGACAAAGCTATTTAGTCTCATCTCAAGAACTGTTGCTTCACATGTTTCAGGGAGACATTTCTTGTATCTTTTAAAAACAAGATCAGTCAGAATATGCTCAAATTAAGAAACATTTTGCCAAAGTTGAGCCATTTTTGACTTATTTTTCATCACTATTTGCAGTGTATAATTTCTAATAAGTAAAACAAAGACTTCTTTACCTGTTATGGGCACAAAACACACGCATGTGGCATAAAGTACACACCTGGCACTCTGCTGTGGTCACAATGATCTGGTGCATGATAAAACCGGAGGTGGTGGATAAGACCCTGCAAAATGCCGTTTGGAGACACGCCAACATATTGTACATAGCATTGCAATTTATATTAATGAAATGACCACAGATTTATTATTCTTTTTCCTTTGGGATCTGGCCAGTACAGTGTGTCCTGACATTTATTTGTTGTTATATTTACAGCATGTCAATCAGTGACATCTAATCTTAGAAAAGGCCCGCTATAATGCTTTGGCCCCGCATCCAATTGTATACAATAACTGCAGAGTCGCTTTGTGTGTGCGTATATGTGTGCGTGTATACATGTATGTGTGTGTATATATATGTGTGTGTTTTTGTGCATGTGTGTATATGTGTTTGTGTATACATGTATGTGTTTGTATATATATATGTGTGTGTGATATTGTGCGTTTATGTGTGTATATGTGTCTATGAATGTGTGCGTGTATAAATGTGCGTATGTGTGTGTGTGTGTATATGTGTGTGTATGTATGTGTGTATGTATATGTGTGTGTGCGAATATATATGTGTGTGTATGTGTGCTTGTATATATGTGCGTATGTATATGTGTGTGTGCGTGTATATGTATATATATGTGTGTATGCGTTCATACGTGTGGGTGTGTGTGTGTGTAGCAGGGAGGTGCAGACGCTCTCGCAACACGTCCCTGGCACTGATCATCCACGTCAAACTATTAGCAGTGTGCAAATGTGCCACCAGAAGCGCCTTGTCACTAGAAATAAGCCTAAATTCACACGCGGGGCAACAGCATGAGAGCGGAGGACGCGCGGAGAGCAGCTGTGCGGGTGATAAGAGCCGGGAGTAATTATCAAGTCAAAAGTAGAGGCATAAAAATAAACTCCAGAGGTGCAGTTTAAACACAAACATGCGACGTTCATGGCTAAATCAATACGTATTCATATTAATGCACGGCTTGATTTTTCTCTTATCTCTCCTCTTAAGACGCTGTTGAGTCAATTACTTTGATGGGGACGCTGCAGTTTACGCACACGCACGACACATGTTAATAATACATGTTTTACAACGATAATCGATCTGTCTGGGGCTCGACGCGAAAGACTGAAGGATTCTGTGTGTGCAGGTAATTACCGAACAAACGCACACTATAGAGGTACAGTCAGCACTTTAGCGCATCATAAATACGCTCCAGTTTATCTAAAGTTACCGGTGCTGGCGCGTCTCTCTCTCTCACTCACTCTGCTGGGTGTCTCTGCTGCTGGGTTACAGAAAATACACTAAATAAATGAATAAACAAACGCCATTACGCACTATGTAGATGTGAGTTGAGATGGACAGGTTTTGATGGTCGTCTCTGGAGAGGATGCGAAAAGTGCGTCTCTGTAAGTCTCACGTTTCAGTTCAGTTCAGTTCTTTTTTTTTTTTTTTTTTTTGAGAAGCGTTTCATCACATCAGAGTGGGTTTTATCTCCATCTCCACTCGTTCCTCTTCCCTTCTGGCGTTGCATGCATTTCCAGGAATCGAGAGGGCCATGAGTGTTACGCGCATCCAAATGACCGGCAAAACAAACAAACAAACAAACAAAACATCCAGTAAAGTTTGGTTTTAGTCCAGGGAACGTGCGAACCGAGAAACAGGTGCATTCACAAATACACGCATCAAAAAAAAGAGAATGAATGATCCATGTGTGGTTGGGATGTCACGCGCACGTCCACAGTGACCGGGCCTCCGACAGTCCAGGCGGCCTGCGAGCTGTGGAGAGAGGCTGCAGCCGCCTCAGCCTCTGCTCCTCAACTGTCCATGCCACATTTTAGGGGTGATTTTATTTCTCTTATTCATTCTTAAAATCCGTAGGAAGCGACTCTCATTAGGGTCGAATAAGCAAGCATCAACACTTTTTTTCGCTGTCCATAAGCACGCGCATCACTTAATAGATCATTAACCACCGTTGTGCTGCTGACATGGAGCTTTTAACGTCTCGTATCTCCATTACGGCGCGTTATTGCCAAAGGGGAGCGCTGCCGGCGGCCCACTCCTTCCAGGGCGAAGCATGAGCTCTCACCGCTTCAGCCTCCCCGACCTCCGGAGTAGATCTTATACAGCGCGGCTCGGCACCGCTCGGCACTGCACGGCTGGGACCCCGCGTCAAAACACGAAGGAAAAGCGGCTTCAAATGGATCCTTTTATTTTAATTAACCGGGGGGTACAGAGACTATAGAACAAGTGGAGGTTTTTATTTGAAATGCACAAAATAATAACTGGTATGATTAGTGCAGGCCTCGGGTTTAGGAAAAACATTGACATGAGAATAGAAAATATTATCATCTGCAAAAAGGCCAATTAAAGATAAATACTAATACTAATTGACTTGAAATAACAATTACATCAACAGATAAATTAGAAATAATAATAGTAGTAATGGTAATGATAAATATTGCTGTTATTGTATTACTTTATTATTATAAAAACGGTGTGTGTGTGTGCGTGTGCGTGTGTGTGTGTGTGTGTGTGTGTGTGTGTGTGTGTGTTTATGTGTGTATTTGTGTGCGTGTGTATGTGTGTGCATGTCTGTGTAACTAGTAAAGGCTTAAAATGCAACATTTATTAGCATATATAATAAAAGGATATAATAAAAGGTTTATTTCCTCAATATTCTCCCAAAGTAAAAGTGCACAATGTGATTAATGACGTGAGTTGGGCCGCGGGCCGCAGCTGCTGCGCTCACGCTGCTTCACAACAGTAAGGACAAATAAAGTGTTCATTAGAACGTGCTGTTTACGGGCTCCGCGTGCGTCCGGCTGATCAATACACACTGGTCACGGGCCGTGGATATGAGCAGGAGCCCAATGATAATACCATTGATCTTTACAATTGACTAATTTACAGGAAGTTTCTTTCCCCTTAGGAATCCGCGCATTTGCGTTTAGTACGTGTTTTGTGTCCAGGCAATTATATGTGAGATCAATGACGCGCACCATCTGATCCAACAACCTGTGGACTCCAGCGCTGAAGCCGCGCGTCACGCTCCCGATCTGGGACGCATGAATGCACGTGGGCAGAGGCAGAGGACGTGACATTTGAAATCACACAATTAGCTTTGAGATTAAATTCCACGCGGAACCAGAAAAGCGCACTGACGCTTCGCCTCGTGCGCAGTGTATGTAGTACTGACGTTGGCCACAGAGGGACAGCCTTGAGCCGGTCTGAGCGCAGGGCGCCTCTTGGCCGCGCGTAACCTCCTCCAGCCTACGCGCACGTGGAGCAGGGAAACGCTCAACCTTAATCCATCAGTCTGCCCTTTCCCCGTGAAACTAGTGTTAGAAGTCACTACAGCAGAGGATCATTGTTCACACCAAAGTCTTTATAATAAGTTCAGCTCATATTTCATATGCGCTCGTCTGCAGAGTCAGGCTTCAAGGAGAGGCACTGGGTCCCTGTGTTTGATGTTGTGAATTATTTAAGCCAATCCTACGCAAATAAGCCGTAAACGATTCGGGTATCATCAGAAGTCTCTCTTGAACAGTCACTGGGGCAGAGCGGTGCAGCCGCTTCTGCGTCTGAACTGTGTGTTTCAGAGGAACACGCTCCGTGATCGTGAGCGGAGGCATTTGTGTTCCTTTCCCCACTTTCCTCACACTTTAGGGAAGTCGGTCAGCTGACTGTCTGAGGCTCTCCTCCTGCTCTCGGGTCTCAGGACCTGCTCCTATTGGACAGTTCAGAGTTTCAGATCCAGCCTCCAGCAGTGACGTCACAACACCGTATAAGAATAAAGCGAGGCGAGTGCAAGCGCATTCTGCTGGAATCAGAGTGCGGGAGAGAGAGAGGCGAGTCTATGAATCTCTGCGGTGCAGAGCTGGAAAAGCTGCTTCTCAGCGAAAATCAGACGCCCTATTTACTGCGTGAAGGCTTCTGCTATTTTCCTGGAGAAAAGGGACTTACAAGCAGGGCTGGTGCCCGTCTCCATGAGCACGCGCGGCACTGCGGTTTGGTCATTCATTTTTGAAAACTCTTTTACCGAATGGACTGAGCTCTTTACTTTTGAGACTGAGAGACGTAGAGCTCTACCTCTCGCTGACGTCGTTCGCCAGAAGTCGGCTACATGACGCTTGCAGAGCTTTAGCTGAAAACTTTTCCTACTCCACTTTTTTTCGTTTTCCTTTTTCTGCCCCGCCGCCAACCACAGTGTTTCATGCTACAGCAAGTCAGTGCGCAGCTGTGGAGGAGCCAAAAGAACTATTGCATGAAACAAGAAAGAAGAGAAGAGACACTGATCACCAAGTCGGTTTTTGCGACACTTGCGAGCACCTTTGCAAACCTGCAAAAAGGTCGCGACCACAACATGAGCACAGAGATGAACATGGGCCCCGAGCTCCCCAGCAGCCCTCTGGCCCTGGAATATGTCAATGATTTTGACCTGATGAAGTTTGACGTGAAGAAGGAAGGCCTGGCCGGGCTGGAGCGCGCTGGCGTGCGTCAGTGTAACCGACTACAGCCCCAGGGCTCGGTGTCGTCCACCCCCATCAGCACGCCCTGCAGCTCGGTGCCGTCCTCCCCCAGCTTCAGCCCCACGGAGCAGAAGAATCACCTGGAGGAGCTCTACTGGATGCCTGGAGGCGCGTACCACCAGCAGGTTGACCCGCAGACGCTGAGCCTGACCCCGGAGGACGCGGTGGAGGCCCTGATCGGTGCCACGGCGCACGGACACCCCCCTCCCGCACACGTGCAGCAGCAGTTGCAGCAGCAGGGCTTCGAAGGCTACAGAGGTCCACACCACCACCACAACCACCACGGCCACGGTCAGCACCACCACCCGTACGCAGGGGCCATCCCGCACCACGCTGACGAGCTGAGTGGCCACGCGGGCACGCACAGCCACGCTCACAACCCACACCACCACCACCACAGCCAGGACCCGGACAGCCCGTCCCCCGTGTCCCCGGAGTCCCACCAGACGCTGCACCACCACCGCCACCACCACCACCATCACGCGCACGGCTCCGCGCACCTCGGCCAGTCCTCGGGCATCAACGTGGAGGACCGCTTCACCGACGACCAGCTCGTGTCCATGTCCGTGCGTGAGCTCAACAGACACCTGCGCGGCTTCACGAAGGACGAGGTGATCCGCCTGAAGCAGAAGAGGAGAACCCTGAAGAACCGCGGCTACGCGCAGTCCTGTCGGTTTAAGCGTGTGCAGCAGAAGCACGTGTTGGAGAACGAGAAGACGCAGCTCATAAACCAGGTGGAGCAGCTAAAGGCAGAGATCAGCCGCCTGGCGAGGGAGCGGGACGCCTACAAACTCAAGTGCGAGAAACTCACAGGCTCCGGGCCCAGCGCCGGGTTCCGTGAGGCGGGCTCCACCAGCGACAACCCCTCCTCTCCAGAGTTTTTCATGTGAGTTCAAAGACTGACTTCTCATCCCCAACTTCCCAGACCTTTATGATTATAATAATACGGTAACACTTATATTCATATAGAAAATAACCCATCTAGTATTCTCATATTTAACCATCTGTCACCCACGTGTCAGCTGAGATACAAAGAGTCCTGAGTGTGTGGCTTTAGAGACTGAGGAAGAGGAGCAACTGATATTTTCTTAAGTCTTCATCTTTACAGACTTGTAAGTACCGCGGGCCCCTGGTGTCTTCTGTTGTTCCCAGTGACAGAACTTTGTAAACAAGGCCTGACTCACACACACACACTGTGAGTGGGCCCAAACTGAGCGACCTTCACCAGACTTCACTTTATGCAAACCCCGCTCCACTTCAGACCGCTCATGGGGACATTTTATGCAACATCTCATTGATTTATTGCCTGCTTGGTTATATTCAAATATATATTGAAACAAAAAATCTGCATTAAATATTAATCCTGCATGCTGGACATGTACGGTAATAATTTCTATTTTGTACTTCCATCTTGTCGTGTATATTAAGAGCATGTTGTTGATCTGCGCTTCTCTATAGTTTGGGGTTAGACTAAAGCAAAGAACTGCGGGTGCAGTGTCATGTGGGTTTCTTTGGGCTTGTAAATATTATGCAACCGCAAAACTGCACAACAAGAAGATTTAGGAGGCTGGTTTAAACTTCTGTCTATCTTTAAGTTGTGTTTTTATTTCAAGTATTTTGCTTTTCTTAAGTTTTGGGTTCAGAGGGAGAAAGTGGAAAAAGGGGAAGAAAGGGAAGTGCATTTTTTCAGTTGCATTTATTACGAACTTGTGTGTCAAGTGCACTTTTGGATAATGATTTCCAAGTTTTCATTTTGACGTTTGCGCGTACCTCCCTCAAGGAAGACGTGATATTTTGTGGCTGTTTTACAGGCCCACTTTTTTGGATTCATAACTTGGACACGGTTTTGTAGGAGCGCACACACTTCACACACTCTCCCATGTGCGTAAAGTAAGCGCCGTGCTCTAAACAGACAAAGCTCGTTCTAATTGGCCACCTGTAGCTCTCATACAGCCCTGATCATTTATATTTGTACTATTTTAGAAGCACATATAATCACGTTTGATGTGGAATTGTAAAACGCTAGACGTTTGGAATGTTAATAAAGGTTTTCCTGATTTTTTCCTGCCGGTCAGTAAAAAAAGGGATCCAGGTTGTGCAAATTCTCAAAATGAAAACTATTTGTATGGTTAATGATACGTTGTTTTGTCTGTGTTATTATTATTATTGGATGAGTCTGGTTCTGCTGGCCAGATGCATAGTTAAAGTTTTTATTTTAATGATTTAAATTAACAAACTTGTCAGATCATATCGAATAAGCATGGTGCTTGCATCTGAAACTATTGTTGAAAAGTCATGCATTTAACAATCTTTTTGTTACTGATTCAACTGTGTTGAAATCAAAGTGAAACTGCAGCAGCGGGTTGTTGTTTTGTTTTCATATATTTCATGTACTTTGCAATGATGATGATGGGGATCAATTTTCAACCCTGTTTATATAAATAGTTGAACACTTAAATTTTAACTGTTCATTCAGGCTGGTTTCTGTTGTGTCTTATTTTTCGGTTGTTTTGAAAGAAATGTTTTCCTATTTTGCTTATTAAAGTCATTGAAATGGCGATATCATTTCTCACTTGTTTGTTTCTGCACACACACGTGGACGTAGGCTTACAACGCATGGCCACAAGTACCTCTACAACTATAATTAATGTTCGTAATTATCATAATCTCATGTTTCTTTTTTTGCCATTGCAAGTAACAGGAAGTCACAAACTAGAATGCAAACAAGTTGTGAGAGTAAAAGGTGAAGGCAAGTATGTGTTAATATTACCATTATACTACCACCAAGTGCACACATACACTATGTACATAACAACATTTAGGGTGAGTCATGCCTCCCATAGACGCGTAACACAGTCTATTCATTCCATACAAATCATAATAATCATTTTAATAACGTGTGATATTTAACCCAGTTCAGATCGTGACGTCTCCAGTCTCGCCCTCAGATCCACGCCGCTGGCCGCGTGTCCAGACTGACAGTTGTGGATGTTTTGAGTCCCGCGCGCACAATAAAAGGAGCTCTTTGACCTTGTGACGCACTGGGGGACGCAGAAAAGCCACATTCCCATCAAACATTCCCATCAGCGTCACTTTAGGCCTCTGAGGGAGCGCGCGCGTGTGTGTGAATGCACTCAGCGGCTTGCGGCGCGCACACGTCACTGTTTAAGTCAGTGGAGCGTCACAATAATCCCACGTGCGCGCGCATGCAGGGACACATTTTTGGACACGCTCACGTCTGTGTCAAATTATATATCACAGTTCAACCATAATCAAATTGTATTTCAGCTTTAGACATTTCACCACTGACGGAAGCATCTGACATAGAGGTCAAAATATTCAATTCAACTCAATGTGTTTTTGTTAATAGCCCTAAGTCACAATATAAGTAATGTAGAGCGCTGTACAAAGTTGTGGATTCACCAACAACAGATCAGAGAATCAAACAGTTGAAACACAGGGAATATAATAGTAACACATGAGCCATCGGTGCATCAGGAGCAATGTCCTTAAATATTCTGGATCAACCAAATGCCAAATTGTCTGTACCTGAATTCGAAAACCAAATCCTGTCAAACCTCTGAAGCTAAGCAGAGCAGGGCCTGGTTAGAACTGTGATGGGAGAAATCTGGGAACACCAGGAGCCACAGCGGGGCGGCTGCGGCTGTAAAGTGCCAAACTGCTGTTATGTCCTTAGGCAAGACACTTCACCCACATTGTCTAAAATGAGTCTGGTGTGTGTGTGAATGTTTGGTGGTGGTGGGAGGGGCCGATGGCACATACTGGTTACCTTGCTTCTGTCAGTGCGCCCCAGGCCACTTGTGGCTACAGTCTTCCTGTACTCAACCACCCTCCTAATGTATACGGTTATAGATAGATTGATAGATATATAGATAGATGGATAGCATTTGGAGTAAAAGTGTAACGGCACGTGAAGTGTCATTGAACCCCAAAATTTCAAAAATGACTATGTAAATTTATCATCAATTTAATGTTCTATTTTCAGAACACCATTGAGCTGATTCGGGGGGACCTCAAATGTGCAGTTCAGTAATTGTATTTATTTATTTGGTTGGGACAGTGTATGTTAATGAACACACCGCTCTAGATTGTCGTCTTTGTCCTTTTCTCATCCGTCGTCCCACTATCTCCCTCACAAACACACCCTGAACGATTGTTTTTAGTGGTACAGGGGAAACCGGAGCGACCGGAGGAAATCTACACAGACAAGGGGACAACATGCAAACTCACACAGATGCCTGGAGGTGGAAGCAAACCCAGAAGCCTCACACCGCCATGCAACTGTGCATGGCAGCCCAGGACTTTATAGGAACTGGAGACTTTTTGCCAAGACAAATGGGCGACTTTACCATCAGAGAGGATCCAGAAACTACAACAAAATACTCCAAACCTTCCTAGATATTATAGATATTAAAAGGTAGCTACAGGCTATTGATAACTGGGGGTCAGAGATGATTCAGATTCATTTTAATAGCCATGTGCAGTATAAAAACTACATTGGAATACATTCGCAATAAAGGTACTCTGTGTGCACCTACAGAATAAAGAGCACGATACAATGTAATATAAAATACACATACACATACATTGGAAATAAATGAATAAAAAAAACAGCTGTCACTGTGGCACCGATCAACAAAAACGATACAAGGGGTAAAAGCAGGAATTAAAGTGCTCTGTTTAGGCACCTTTCTTTGATGATAAATTGCTTCACATGACTAACAATGAGTGGAAAAAGGTTTTTAGCATTATCATTCATAATCTTTGAAATATGGTTCACATTTATGCCTGGGTGTGTACATTATCAAGCACAACTGCGTTCAATTATCTTCTTGCTTGCGTTAGAGTTCCCCCAATCTACAACTTCAATCCAAAAGTCCCCAGTTTATTCCCACTTTATTCAAAATGCATGTCTCATTTGCTCGGGACTCACTTCCGGCAATAAAAGCAGGAGAGGAGGAATGGGACCCAGAAGATGGGAGTAAGTGTGGATCCGCTCTGGTCTAGAGTTTCTGGTGTCAGAACATTATCTGCCCCGTGTCTGCACATTCTCAAGGACAAAACCGCCAGGCAGCGATTCAACCAATGAGACGGAGGAGAGCCGGTCCAGTTTACATTCTCTCTCTCTGTCTCTGGACGTCCACTGCAGCTGGAGAGAGAGCTGCCTGGGGGTGAACACGGATCACACAACAAACCAGCGTGCTGTAAGTTCATGCTATAACTGCAAGAGGCAAGGTGAGGGAGGTTTGCTTTGTATAGCACAGTTCATACACAAGGCAATTCAAAGTGCTGAACCAAACCAGATAGAAACAATCACACACGGCATTACAATCATAAATACTCACAGTACATTTAAAAGAGTGAAGATGCAATAATACTGTTTTTAACCTGGATTTGAACATGGTCTCAACCTTTTCAGGAAGACTGTTCCAGATTGTAGCTGCATAAATCTGAAATGCAGCCTCCTCAATGTTTATTCCTGACTCTGGGCACCTGCAGGAGGCCAGTCCCTGTGCTCCTCAGAGTCTGAGTTGGTTCCTGTGCCACTCACGGTTTGATGTGCGTTCAGGAGGCATCTGAGATGTTATGGTCAAGAGGATTATACTTGCATGTGAAAGCCAGATTCAGTCAGATTTCTGAAGCTAAGCAGGGCAGGGCTTGATTAGTACTGTGATGGGAGACCTCTGGGAACAGCAGGTGCAACAGTGAGGCAGCTTCATACCCACATTGTATAGAATGACACTGATGTGTGTGTGAATGGTTGGTGGTGGTGGGAGAGGCCGATGGCACATACTGGTCCCTGTGAGTCTCCTGTACTCAACTACCCTCCTAAGATCGTTCCAGTATGGAACAATGTGCTAACTTACAA